ATCAATACTAAGACACCCGCTGCATTTGTTTGCACCTGTCCTAAGTCAGGAACCTGTTGTTCAGTAGTTGTCGTTTGTTGATGTGGTTCATAAGTATTTCTTGTTTTTTTATAGATTAAACCGTTGGTTTTTCTGTTTTAATTATTTAACACTAGTCATTTTGGGGCCCTTTATAACTTGTTGTTCGGTGTGAGCCAAGGCTCCGTGTTGAAGGCCGTGCTTTAACCTATAATGGTTTACTTTTTACACATTGTGACTTGGATGAAGAGATGTATAAACATGTATAAGAAAGACATCCTTAACCAAACCCAAAATTATGTTGTCTTAGTTGTATATGTAGATAAGATCATTATTGGATAGCATTGTCCTTTGATGTCAAGCTTTACGAAAGTATATTGCAATATATTGTGTGAGAAATCTCTTCAGGGAAAATGTATACAATTTGAATATAATTAATTAATTAATTTGTTTTATTATTGTTGAACAAATCTTCAATCTATTTTCATTTTTGATCATTAATATTCAAATTTAACCAGATGTTATCAAATAAAATATCTTAGTAAAGATATCAAACACCTTCCCGTGCAATCGTATACCCAACTTCCCTATTCAAATATGGAAAATTGAAATCATCATCATCATCATCATCATCATCATCATCATCATCATCATCATCATCATCATCATCATCATCATCATCATCATCATCATTCTAAGAAAGATTGCTAGACCTTAGCAATAATCATTTGTGTCCCTTGCTTGTAAACTAAAAAAAAATGTCCATTACATCTATTACATATTTTGTCATTATTTTCAAACCTTGTTTTTTTCTGTTCATTATTAATAACTTGTCAGATAATATTCAAATTTAACCAGATGTTATCAAATAAAATATCTTAGTAAAGATATCAAACACCTTCCCTTGCAATCGTATACCCAACTTCCCTATTCAAATATGGAAAATTGAAATTATTAAGAAACTAACATTTCAACCACTTCAGGCAGAGTTGACCTTAGATGTATTTAGGTAAATATTTAAGTTTCTTTTGGTCATAAGGCTTCTAATGCTTCTACGTACTTATACATCCCTGGCTTTCAAATGTTTATGTTGCAGCATTCCTGATGAAGAAAAAACAAGAAAAGAGCGCCGGAGCCATGCAATTTTAAAAGTGTTTATTCAATTGACCATGCATAAGAAGAAATATTTTCCAATTATCCTTCATTATTGAAGTTTTGTTATTTAGTTATAATGGAGTATTTGGAATCTAAAAATATATGACTGGAAGAGATATCACACCACTTTTACTTAGTCAGGATTGTTTATCCCTTAACAAGTAACATTAAACCCCCTAACATGTCATTCACTCAAATTATCCTATCATTTAAACTGCTTTATCTGGCTGTTATGCTGGAATCCAAACCATCTAAACATATTATGTTTGGAAAAGATCCCACAGTACTTTTGCTTCCCTACTATGGAAAAGTAACCCCCTTTCAATAAGTTCTAAAAAATCTAAATCATATGATTTCAAATACTTTGTCTAGTTATAATGTTGCAATGATTTTTTTAAATGAATTACATACGTTGAATACGGTGTAACAACATTTGTTCGTATGTATGGTATTTCTAGGTAGGTTTAATCTTCAAAGGTCTTCCTTGATAGAAAAAAAACCAATTGTTACGGTATTAGACATTTCCCTTTTTTTCGTTTTGCAATTCGCTCTGTATTATGTTTCAAAAACTGTTCTCTCTCAACTGCTGACCCATGTCCGCTCCCTTCTGACCAATTTTTACCAAAATTAATAATTGATTTGACGGTTGACCTAGCGCGTTTCCATACATTCAAATTTCACGTTAGGGCACCTGTTACTCAGGATTTCGATCCAATAAAGGTCAATTGATCCAAATCTACTATATACATCGCTGTTGAAATAATGTTAGTGAAATGTATATTTAGATTAGCACAGTCCAATTTCTTATTATGATATCGAATCCTCGTCGTTCAACCGACTGTATAACATTAAAAAGTATCAACAAAACAATAAATTCCAAGATAAATTCAAAAAGGGGGAAGTCCATCAAACCGGACAAAACCAAACACCCGACTTTATCAACCAACAAAAAGATATTAACTTTGAGATCTTTCAAGTGAAAACCACTTAAAATGATAGCAAGTGCATTTGCCTCCTTGAACCCTATACAGTTTAATTTTAAGTGTTTATTGAAGTATGATTGGTTTGTGTGAACTTCATATTTATCTTGATAATTTATATAATAATGAGTAGGACTTTATATCAAATAGTTGTGTGGTTTTTTGAAAACAGGTTAGATGTCATTTTGTGTAAGTATAAATAGTAGTTGTATGGCTTGACTTCCGATTAATTGTCTATCGTAACTATTTCACGTACATTATAAGTAGATTGATATCAATCATATGTGTTTACAATTTTTTCAATATATATTAAATTACAACATGTTCAAATGAAACGAGTTTCTTGTGATAATATTGTTAATGACATAAATGAAACGATGCATGAATATATATTAAACTAAGTCAACAGTGAACTTTTTTTTTCATTTTTTTACGAAATCTTAACATACAAACGACAATAAAATATTCCATTCGTCAAATTTTGATCGTAAGCTTTGGCTATTAATCAACTTTCGGTTCTCGGCGCTAAGGTTTACCGACTGTGACCTTGATAAACAATCAATATGATCAAAGCAGAAAAATGAATGATGACGTGAGCTAACAAAGCGATGATTATTTCTTGATGTTTTATATTTTTCCCACTTTCCCACTTGTTCATTAAACTTTGCCATAAAAGTTGCTAAATGATTTGCTATATAAAAAATATCATCTGTTTTCCTTACAGGTTTAATTACTTTTTCTGCCATCACATTTTTTTTCGCACTTGCACAATGGGATTGCCAAATTCCTAACGAGAAAATGGAATGATAAGATAATTGCATACGGAAAAAGTTTCGGCAAATACGATACTTAAAGACAATGATTCAATATCAGTACATTTATTATAGAATGTAGATAAAATGAAGGATTTTCTTTTAAAAGAAAATCTTTGTACACGTGTTTTATAATGAAAATAGATTTTCAGTTATGTGAAACATATTTAGCTTTTTGTGAAATTTGAAGCTTCATATAACTTTTATGTTCTAATGGTACAAAATCAAAAGTCTTGAGTGAAAAATAAAGTCGGCGATTTCAACTTTTCCATCACAAACATTTCTTTTTTTTACGATTTTGCTCTTGTCGCATCCAATGGCGTATATATGAACTCATCATAGATACCAGGATTAAAATTGTGTACCCAGATGCCCAGTTCGTCTACGAAAGACTCATCAGTGACGCTAGAATTAAAAAAATTATACAGGCGAAATAAAGTACTAAGTTGAAGAGCAAAACGTGTACAGTTTGATAGGAAATGTTCTAATGGATCTTTATTAAACGAAAGTAACATTGTTTTAATCTATATTTAATATTTATATATTAATAAAACCTCATATGACATGTTAGCACTGTTGTTTCCGTTATGTTATTTTTAAGAGACAGTATCAAACAGCATGAAGCTACTATCTCTAGCTAGTAGTAGCAAGCATTTTATTACCCTATTGTTCAAATGAATTGCCGTATTTTATTTCCTTGTCAAAGTTAGCAGTCATCATGTCGGAAGCGGCACTATCGTGTATCAAACCAAAGCAATCCATTGACAGTCTTTAAAAAAAGAAAAACAATACGTTTTGTCAGAAAACGCATGAAAATTTTAATAAAGGTAAAAATCATATGAATATCCTGCCTCAAATAATTATATAAGCTACATAATTATTTAAATGTGAAACGAAAAACGGTAAAACATCTTTCAAACTTATATTTAAATTTTATAATGATATTAATCCATTTCAATATGTAAACTAAATATCTGAGAAATTTTAAGCCTCTATGGGTATCCACAATTATGATAAAAGGCCCGAATGACCGAGTGGTCTAAGCAGTTTATCTGCAGCTATTACTACCCTTTAAAATCTTAGGTTATGAGTTCGAACCCTGCCCGTGCCAAGATACAAAAAACACGCTCAAGGTACATTCGACTTCGATCTTTAATGACAAGAATTGCTAGTTTTTCTGCTGAAGGTCAATGGTTCTATCCGAGTAATTTGGATTCCTACATCAAAAGAAACTGAAGGTAGTGTTAAACACCAATAAACAAAAACAAAAAAATAAAAACAAACTTGTGGTCATCAAATTTCCAAAATCAAATTGATCTAACCATGCTACCGTAAGGTAGTCATACATTAAGGATCAATTCCTTGTATTTTTTAAATTTTCAACGACAGATCTTTGAACCACATCACTGTATGTCTAAAAAGAGACATATCCCATGGCGATATTGATGAGCAGAAATCAATCACTTAATCAACCTATTGATTATAAGATTGAAACATTATTTTTTTACCACAAATCATCGCACATATACAATCTAGTGCAATTGAAATCTAAATGAGTAATGTCTCTGAAAATTTCTTAATTTCAATAACAACACCAAGTCTAAATCAATTTTCTACCGTCCAGTGTTAAAAGGAAGAACCTCATTAAATTGACTGCACGAGACGTAAAATCCAATTGGCAATGTTTTGTCTATGAAAAGTACCAATCTTCAATTTTACATCCCCAAAATCATATGCACCAGAGTACATGCATATGGGCAGTAATCTGAAAGCAAACTTTGTGATAAATTTTGAAATTTACCCTTCAGAACATAGCATTTTCATCATATTGACATCATGTTCAAAAGATAAATATTAACTGAATTATAATAGTCATCAATATAGGGTTTGACACTTTCGCAAGCTGATGACGTCAAGGGTGTTTTTAAACGAAACCCCTTGTGGTGGCAGTAAACATAATGGTTATCATTATAATTATTCATCACATTTTTCATCACTAGAAATAAAGTAGTTCATTTATGTTTTATAGTAACAATATCATATGGTATCACATTAGAATATGGAATCCACAATGAGAGAAAAAGAAACTTGTCTGACGACTGACAGAGGATCGATACCAACAGAACAGTCAAATAGGTTACGACTACAACATCTAATAGAGAGTGTAGCAACCCCGGCTGTCAGAGTGGAATTCGACAAACAATTTCACCCAGATGTGCTTCAGAGGACTATACGCCAAGGAAAAATGCTACATAATAAAAACATAACCAAGGAACAGCGTGATTTGTTAGAACCAAAAGCAGGTAAACTTATGTATTTCATAATGTAGGTGAAACTGGTTTATGTGGTCACAATTACGAATTGTCCCAACTAACTAGCGACGTGTTTTCGCGGTCTTGTATGGTTAGATATCAGAATAGTCTGTAATTTTGACGTTGTGTTTCAAATTGTGACATCTTGACTGATTGACGATTCGCATGACGAGTGATGAGGCGTAGCAGCAGACGCTATACCTGTCCGCGCACTAGGTCATTCTTATAGCACGGACGATGATACCACTACCTAGTAAATTGTTTTGCAATCTTGTGGCGAACATTGAAAAGAATAAGTTACAAAACATGTCGTTCAATAAACATGGTAAAGAAATGAGAACAACACTTTATGAATTTCATGATGCGTCCAAAGCGCCTTTCTGGATTTACCTTCATCAAGAACGCTTAAATCTATATTATTTAATATCCAAATGATTTAACCAATTTTGTTTGGTCAAAACCTATGCCATGAAAAAAGAATCCGAAAACTCCGGACATGTATATCTTAATGCTATTTATAAGTAATGATTATATTATACGTAATTCAGGGTTCAGACAGGGTATACGCTGTTACATTCCAGGCTAAGGTTTAAAATAATAATGTTTTATCATAGGAAACTGGGAAAATGGTATCTAAATTTTCGGTACAAATATCCCATTTGCAAGGGGATCATGAACATTCATGTTAAATTAGCACGATAGGATTTTTCTGGACCGAATGTTTCTGAATTTGAATATGTTAAGGCGAGTTTTATGAGAAAACTTATAATGTACTATCCAGTAAGTTGGCATGTTTATTTATTTAAATCAAGAAATTAAAATTTGAACCCTATTGGATAACATAAAATCTTAACAAATTCCAGGAAAATTTCATGCAGTCATTGTGACCATAATCTTCATTTGGCATAAAAAGCAAAAAAATCCCTTGTAATTGAACTATAAATATGTTGTTGTTCCTGCGGACAAAGCTTCAACTAATAGTTTTTGTATGTAAATCGTACTACTATGAGTGTCTTGTAATTAATTAGGAATTAATGAGCACTCAGGTAATTCCACATACAAAAACATATCATTTGACAAGGATGAGATTTTGGCGAATCATAAGTTCTTCATGGCTTCAATGAACATTACATTGAACAACAAATCTGAGGACTTACCTTGTTTGTATTTCATACCTAAGCTTCACCAAATTCCGTACAAACAACGGTACATTGCCGACTCATCTTCATGTTCTACAAAGGAATTGTCCATTAGATTGATATTCTGGCTGCAGTGAAAGGGGTCTTCAGAAATACTGTGAAACTGTTTACTCGCGTAGTGGTACTAATCATATGTGGACTCTAAAAAAACTCTAAAGAACTTCTTGATAATTTTGAATCTCGATCTTTCTCTGAAATTAATTATATCAAAACTTTAGATTTTTCAACCCTGTATTAAGTAAAATAACAAAAATACCGAACTCGGAGGAAAATTCAAAACGGAAAGTCCCTAATCAAATGGCACCATTTCCCATGTAAAATTGAAAAATCGTCTAAAAGAAAGAATCCACAATGCTTTTCAATATAAAAATGGCAGCATACGCTATAAATGTATTGCTTTGGGATACCATATGGCATATTTTGTTAATAGTGAGCAAAAAGGTAAAACATGCTAAACAGAGGAACAGGTGATCAGCATGCTGGAGTTTTTCATTGACAACATATTTGTTGAAATCAAAGGTAGACTTTTTCAGCAAGTTGTCGGCATTCCTATGGGAACGAACTGTGCGCCTCTCCTTGCCGACCTCTTCTTATTTTCATATGAGTCGGAGATCATTCAGACACTGTCAAAAACAAGAAAATCAAAGAAGTCTGATCATTTAATTTCACATTCAGATATATTGATGATGTTCTTTCCATTAACAATCCAAACTTTTCTCGTTGGGTTCCTTTAATATATCCTCCAGAACTAGAAAATTAAAGAAACCACAGATATGCCTTCTTCCGCCTCATTTTTAGACTTTTACCTCGAATTTGACATAAATGGTCATCTCAATACCAGAATCTATGACAAGCGAGACGATTTTAATTTTGAAATTATAAATTTTCCCCACCTTAGCAGCATTATACGAACTTCACCTGCGTATGGGATATACATTTCCCAACTCAAGAGCTTGCAGCTGCTACTCAGACTTTATAAAACGTCACCAGTGTCTGCGCAGAAAGTTGATGAGCCAAGGTTATGTCAAAGAACGTCTCTTCCTGTTTCTTAAAATGTTCATTGGAAGATACAAAGACCTTGTTGATAAATATTCCGTATCAACTTCACAAATAATACATGATGGTCTTGAAGTATAGATTCTTGGTACTAACGTTGTTTATCATCTTAGTTACTTGTTAAAGTTCCCTTTATCTGTCCTTGTATATTTTTAACCTTTACTGTTAAGTCCATTTTTGATTATATTCTTATGACGTGGCTCGATACTTATACATCCCGCCATTGTGTTATTGTGCTATGGTCAATTTTGAACACTTGTCTTTCATTTTTGCTTATGTACTTTGTGTATATGCCATTTTGTGTTTCTTTGTTGAAATAGTTATTTGTTTTTATAGTGATTCAGATTATATTACAATGTTGACAGCTGTACCCCAATTTTTGACGTTTTTACCTATTATGTCTGTTTGTTTTGCTCACACTTTGTTGTCAATATAATGGAATCCAATGCGACTGTCATACAAGTGAGAAGTTTAGCTAGCTATAAAACCAGATTTAATCCACCATTTTCTACATAAGGAAATGCCTGTACCAATTCATTAATATGACAGCTGTTTTTCCATTCGTTAGATGTGTTTGAGCTTTTGATTTTGCCATTTTATAAAGGACTTTCCGTTTTGAATTTCCCTTGGAGTTCGGTATTTTTGTTATTTTACTTTTTTACATTAATTCTAAACCATTTCTGGCCTCAGTTTTGATTATCACATGGGGTATGTGAGTCTTTGTTTGTTACTTATATTAAAAGGTTCATATGCAGTAAAATCTTATTGCAGCGATAAATCAACAAAACTTTCTATTATATGTGTCGAAAGATATAAATAGTACGCTAAAGATGTTTTCTGGTACTCGTATTCCAATCTTAATAATGAAGAAAAGAATTGTTTTGCCTAAAACCTTTAATGAATACTGAAGATGAAAAAGTGTACAGAAAAACCCCAATTAGCAACAACACACGAAAAATCACTTTTCACAGGTCATCATGGCATGCCTCGAAGCACATTTCATTGAAAGTTGGTATCGTCCGGGTTATTTCTTCAAAATACATATATTTCTTAAATCAAAGAACTCCATATAGGTATACAATTTTAATTAAAGTATTGTCAATTACAAATCATATTAAATTGAAAGCAAAAATGTCAAGTATACATCACCCCTACTCTCCATGATGTCTCTATTCATGACCCTCTTCCATACATACAAACAAGCCGTTGGGTATTCATCGCATTAGAACTAGGCTACATCTTTCAAAACCACTGTTTCTAATCCCTATTCTAACCAATTCAAACTTTCAGCTATCATCTCGTATATTGCTAGTCATTGATTTTCATACCAGTTCGCATTGAAAAAGATGAAAAAGAGAAAAGATCCTTTCTAAAAAAAAACAGGGTCTCGATGCCATCAACTTGGGCAATATCCTTCATCAGAAATCAGTTCACTCGAAAATACTCCACTCCTTTAAAGATCAGTCTGTACCTATCATCTCTAATATCTATATCAAACCAATTGCAATTAAAATTTTCAATTACAAGCACATGTTGCAGGATCTCAATATTGACGACTTCAAGTGTAAACCATCCTGAGTACTCCTGTTCTAGTTCCTCATTCATATATAATCCAGTTAGTCATGTTATTACTGGTGAAGAATAACACTTCTCTACGAAATGTGTTATCCAAAAGCCCAAAATATCGTGAGCCTAAATCCATCAACTTGAAACACAACTTTAAAATACTAATGAATTAAGTTGAGGATTACTCCATGCAATGGGCTAAACGCTCAAAAAGTAGACGTAGATACTCGTTCCTATTGGATTAAGAGTGTGTGGTTATTGATACAAATTAGATTTAAAAACTAAAGTGGTCTATGAATAAACATGCTACATCGATCTTTAAAGACTCAGATGTTGCTTGAAACTTGTCTTGCTCCATGCCAAATATGTTGTTGTCCCCGCAGATAAAGCTCTAAACAACATAGTTTTTGTGTGTAAATCACTTTACATAATGTGCTTGATGCATGGATACCTTATATCCTTTGTTTTTCTATTATTTTGATAAAGGAATTTTGTATTGATAATTCACTTGGAAACTCAACATATACCCCCCAACGACACTGACCCCGGAGGAAATCCTGAGTAATCATAGGTCTGTTCTATTTTCCTTTGGGATTTTAACCAAAGATGATGAACTCAGTCTTCTTTCGCTGTATCAGATGCCTAAATTACATAAGTGAACTTACAAACAACATTGAATTGCTGGGTTTTCTGCTCCACGAAACCTCTTTCTAAAATTGTTAACTTTGATTTTATTGACAATGAAAGTCGAACTTCAAAGTTATGAATCAGATGTTGATATTAAAAAATTCCAAAGATCTATTTTAGTACATGCAGTTTAGGTATATTTACTCTTGCAATAGTATTAAAAAAATTTACTTTTCTATCCTTTACACGTCAAGTATTCCTCTATCCAAACTAAAAGACACATTGAAAGAATTTGTCTTGATTTATTTCATCAAAAAAGAATGTAAAACGTAGATATAAGTATCTTGTTTTTCGGAGGGATAAATCGGACTTTGTAAAAATCCCTTTGAATCAAACAAAACATTCTCTGAAACTGCCATTATCATGATGCTTGATGTCTTTTTTAACAATATTTTTGTTACGTTTGGAGGGCGTGTTTTTTTGTTTTGTTTTTTTTTTCAATCGGCGTTCCAATGAGAAACAACAATGCTCCTCTTTTTGCCCACTTGTTCCTTCATTGATATGAGACTGACTTCATACAGGAGCTCCTTAGGAAGAATGAAAAGAAGCTACCATTATCCTTTAACTTCACGTTCCATTAAATAAATCATGTCCTCTCTGTATCATTCAAAGTTGACATGTTGACTATGTTGAACGCATCTATCCCATCGAACTTGAAATAAAGGATACAATAGATACATTTAAGTCTGCCTCATATTTTGACTTACATCTAGAAATTGATAAGGGTCGGTTGAGAACGAAACCTTTCGACAAAAGAGATGATTTCAGCTTCCAAATTGTTAATTTTCTATTTCTATATACATTTTTTGTAGCTACTTTCCAGCAGCGCCTGCACATTGCGTACATGTCTCCCAGTTGATACGATATTCCTAGCATGCTTTCCTTGATTAAGGGTTGCTGCTTACAAAGAAGCTCTTAAACAAAGAGTTTCAAGTATTGAAGTTGAAATCATCCATTCAAAAATTTTACGGACGCCATCACGAGTTCGTTGACCGTTTTGGAATATCTGTTTCTTATATGACGATGGATATGTTCCAATCGTCATAACCCCAATCCCGTCCTTTTTTTTTTCCTCGAGTGTGACCTACAGAATAAGATTTATCTCCAGGTATGTACTTACACGATCTACACGACGGGTGCCTCATATGCTTACCTTTCACAAACTCCTGATATCAACACCGGTTTTTTGGTTGGGTAAGGGTTGCGCAGTCTTTAGTGGTCAATTCTGTGTTTTGTATACTGTTTCTCTTTTGTTCGTTTTTCCTTCTTTTTTCCAGGTAATTGTCAGTATGTTTTCGATTTTTAGTATCTTTCGCCTGTCTTTAGCATGATTTGATTACCCCAGATCTTGTTTGTGCCGAAGGTTAGAGATTTTAAATATTTTTGAGGTTAGGACAAGAATTATGGTTGAAAATACATTTCGAGTTATTGAATTCCTAAAGTGAATATTATGTGAAGATTTGGTGTAAGAAGTTAAAATCTGCTTTTAATTCATGGCTAACATTGAATAATGAAAATGTTACAGATATTGTTTAAATTTTTGTATTGCCCCTGGGATTATGGTTATTTAAGATTATTACTTTCAATAAAATACAAACGCTGGGATATGTAGCTTGAATGCTAATTTTCAAATGATCAACATAATGGTAGCGTGCTATTTTAAAAAGAAGAAATGGTTGGTCTTCATAGATATATATGAAATATTTTCTGTTTTATTCAATGTGAGAAATACTTGTGGAGTTAAACTATTTTTAGGCAAAAATACTGTCATCTAGGGATTATGGCCACCGTTCCAATAGAGGAAAAACCCTTTGATTATACATGAAATGATTTGTTTTTCTTTGTAGGTAATGTATCGTCAAGTACGTTTGACATTACGTTGATGACGGTTTTCTTTAGAAATATAGCAAAACTATCCATTGGAAAACAACTTCCTCTTGTGATTGACACAAGTACAGCGGCTGATCTAACTAGAATTGTTTTCTATAGAAATAAAAGTGCACATGACTCAATGGAGACGAATGATATTCAAGACTTTGAAAAAGCATACAACGTAATAAGCGAGGTATAAATAAATTTGGCTTACTTTTCATTTTTTTGTTATATGATTGTATCACGTTGCTATCAATCTTTTATATACGAACACTTCCCTTTGTTAATGTGAAACATTTACTATTTAGTTAAAATTGCATCGATCTGCGTAATAATTTCATTTACGACGAGGGGGGTTTTAACGACCTTGACTACCCATGAGGGTCTTGCACGGTCAGTAATTTCATATGAATCTCTTTGGAAGTGCTTTGAGCTTACTTTAAAAAAATCGGAGCATTCTTGGATTTTTGAAGGTTTTTCATCATTTATCGTTGTCTTGTATTTGCGTTACCTTATTGACTTAGTATTAATTAGAAGGTAAAAGGATTTTCCTGTACCGTTTTTCCTTTGTTTCGTCTTTTGTCTTACCTATTTTTATTTGAATGATCGAATTTATATATGAATGGTATTAGATCTTAAGATCCTAGATTAACCCCTCTACATGTTAATGTGCCTTTCCAAAGTTGAGACCTCGTCAATGGCTGTCTTTGAAAATGTCTCAATGTTTTGGTCGTTAGGGGAGGTAAACCTAGGGTATGGGAGATAACTCTTACAAACGGATTAGAAATCATTTGTGCGTTTTAACCTAGCAGTTAGCCGAGAGAGTTACCAAGCATTTATGCTCTTTATGTTTTGATATAAGAATGATATAGCAGCACTCATGAGAGTTGGACCCCACCAAGCATTGCATTAAGGAATCAAAATCAAAATTTAAAAGCTGAAACGATGAAAAGGTGAAAAATTAACATTCATACATGAATTGCTTCTAAAAAGAACTATGTACTGAGAAGTTTTGGGAATTACTCTTGACACAGTTTAGATAAAATCTTGAAAGGTTTGGGGGAAATCTGTTTGGGAAAAACATGTATTGGATTGTGAAGTTATAATGTTTTATTCAACAATTCTAAGCAATAGGCTGTACTTAAATGTATGTCTTTAGATTTCAACTACAAATGACAATATGCTAGAAAATATGATCTTAACAACCATTCTAGCACAAGATAAGGCAAACAGATAACACACAGTAGCACAACGATAGTATTTAGATAGTTACAGATAGTCCGAATTCAGCGTCTGATGGCTCGGGGACAGGGACGTTTTGTTGTCTTGGTGGAAGGAAAAACAACGTTATGTATTATAGTGTTGATATGTAAATGTGTCCCAAAGGGAATCGTTCCATACTGTTTATTACTGATTTTTGTTATAAACTTGACTACAGTTATTATTGGAACCACACAGTTATCACTAGAGCACACAAAAATAATGCAAAGAGAGATTGAAGAAGGTTTTATAGGGGGGTTTCGTTTTTTCTTATGTCTGTAAGACAAATCGTTTGAAGATTTTGTAACTTTCAAACAGATGAATTCGATAAAAGTTTTCAAGGTTTATCAACAATAACTCTTTCAGCAATTTTTTGCAGTAATTCAACGATATCTTTTTTCTGTTAAACAAATGTGTTATCGTGGCTATTCTATATGAGAACATGTGCACAAACACACAATAATATATGCCTACTAGTGTTTTGGGCCGTTTTTGGGGTACCTTAAAACTGGTCATTTCAATATACCATCATCACAAGAAGGCTTTGGCAGATGATGCATGGACCCTTACCGTTTCAATGTGTAAATATAAAAAAAAGATAAACGAAAGAAAAATTGTGGAGTCATCGAGTCCAACTCTCTTAAAGACAATAGTATTGTTGATAGATAATTTTAGAGTCTCTGTTTGAATTTTAAACACTTGTTCAAATTTCAAAAAGATTTAGAACTGTACAAATGGTATGCGTTTTTGTACGGTATGAATTTTCTCATTGTTGAAAGCCATAGGATGGCATATAAGTGCTTGCATCCACTTCATTTGAACTCTGGTGGACAGCTTTCTCATTATCATTCATACCATATCTCCTTGTTTTTATATTGTACATTGCTTACTACATTTTTGGAATCTTGAGGCCATTTAATTGTTATTGTTGTTTGGTGGTTGTCTCATTTTTGTTGTGTGGTGGATGTCTCATTGACGAACATCAGCTTAGCTGTAATGAATCATGAAAGTTATATATAGTGGACGAATACATTTACAACTTAATATTTGGATTATTTCCCTAGATTGATATTCTGTCGAATTGCTTAAGAAATAATATTTGTTGATATCCAAAGGGATTTGTTCACTGTTGAAGGCAGGAATGTGACAAAAATAAAAATTAGGAGATGTGGTATGATTTTCAATGAGACAACTATCCATCAAAGTTCAAAAGATGTGGATGTAAGCAAATATAGGCAAACGTACGTCTGCAACAATGAAAATATACTTACTTGCATCCATTTAATTTGGACTTTGTGGATTGTTGTCTTCTTGACAATCAAATTAATTCCACTTATTTTAAGATTAAGAGAAAAATGTCCTCAAAAAACGAATAATATTAGCTTTAGATTTACTATAGACGGTTAACTTCATGGGTTTCAATAATAGTCATAAAGCTAAATTGTAATTGTCAAGAAAAAGACATAAAACAGTTAGAAGAGAATTGTGTAAATATTCGTATTGGTGCGTTATGTCTGTTGTCTTTATGTAAGTGCCAATCTAATGGGACAATCAATTTCCAACTGCTTTTTACGGTTTGTTCTTGTGTTATGCTCTTACACCGTTGTCCCAGGTCTCGCACATATAATTTGAATCCGTCACATTATTTATGTTCCTGTCCTGGGTCAGGAGTCTGTAGTTCAGTGTTTGTCACTGGTTTCTCTCTGTCAAATTTGTCTTACGTTTATTATATTCTCATAAAACAGGTCGTTGGTTTTCTCGTCTGAATTGTTTCACACTTTGTTATGACGGAGCATTATATTATATCTTATAATTGCTATACGGTATAGGTTTTTTTCTCATTGTTGAAGGCCGTAAATTGGCCTATAGTTGTTAATATCTATGTTATTTGGACTCTGGTAGATGTTTATCTCATATGAAATCATATTTTATATCATTCCAATAAAACATCAACACCAAAATGTAGCAGGATGATAAGTCATAATAAATTAAGTATTAAAACTTACTTTTTACCACAAAGTTTTAGATAGATTTGATATAATGTTCTTTAAAATAACAGGCAGTTGTGAGACTCGGTGGTGAAAGATTTAGAGGACAATGCAAGAAGCTTAGGTTCCAGCGTCTTGATGCTAACTTACCACCAGCTATTAAAGGTACGCTTTTGTTTGAAAAGATAATGTTTATGTGTCGCTATCTATTGTAGGTAACATTGTTTGGCAATATTTACTTTCAAATGAACTTAAATCAGTGTATTTTTTTTTCAATGAATGTCATTAAACAACAATGTACAATATGTACAGCACTAGTTTACCAATTTATAAATCTAAGAAATAAATTAAGAAGACAAAATAAGATATGACTCTAAATTGCAACTATCTAAAGATTCCGACAGTTACGAAAATATGTGAATAATTTGAAATAAATGGCAACAAGGCAGCACATCCAGTCAAAACAATTTTTCGGTTTTTGTTTTTTTTCTTCTTTTGTTGGTTTCTGTTGTTGTTGTTTTTTTTTCTCTCTTATTAATATATATTTCAAAATAACAGTTATCGAGGAAATAATAAGAAACTTTATCACTACTTCACTTTCACTCGTATATTCTCAGATATTCAAGAACATACTATAGATGAATGGTCAAAAATCGATAACAAATTGGTTGTTATGACATCTGCAATCGAAACACTAAAAGACAAAATTCAGAATGAAGATACCGTCACCGTTATAGGTTTTTCGGGTAGTGGAAAATCTACTGCTGTCCGAAATGTAGCTTTGCGTTTATCCCGAGAACAAAAATATCAAATATTTCCAGTGCTTTCACCAAAAGATCTAATGACGTATTATATTAAAGGGAAAAGACAATTATTTGTTTTTGATGACGTCTGTGGCAAATATTCATTAGACATACACAAATTGATGGAGTGGAAAGATTTATCAATGGATATACGACTGCTCTTCGGAGACGGATTATTAAAATGCCTCTTTACTTGTAGACCACACATATTCAATGACTCACAATTTAAAGGAGTTGATATCCTTTCTTCAATAGAGCATGATATATTATCACCTCAATACAATTTGTCAAATAATGAAAGGATTTTGATTGCAAAATCGCATCTTTGTTTTGAAGAAGTAGAAACTATTAAACGTATGAGTGTGTTCAACAAATATGATTGTTTGCCACTTCTTTGTCAATTTTATTCGACAAACAGAAATAGTAATATTGTCAGTTTTTTTAACAATCCAATTCAAGTGATCGAAGATGATTTAATATCATTTAAACATGCCCCTGATCAAACAACTTTTTCGGTGTTATCGTTGTTTGTCATTTATAACAATAAAATCGATAGAAATGATATTAAAAGCCGGCGTTTCAGTGAAATATTATCGGAAATCTCAGATAATGTTAGAACATCGTCTGCACTTTCACGAAAAGTTGTGACAGACAACCTTACAAAGTTATCGAATACATATGTACGAATTCTAAAGGACTCTTACAGCATAATACACGATAAATGGTTTGATACTGTCGTTTCTTTTTATGGAAAACACATGTTTGATATCATATTAAGACTTAGTCATCCCGATATCATACGTGACCGATATCAATTTGAAATTAACCAAAGGTATCAAAGTAAAGATTCACTAGTTATTTTTGTTCCGATGGAAAAAGAATCAGACTATATGAAAAGATTATGCAAGGACATAAATGACGGATATGTTCAAAAAGTATTTACTAATAAACAACTGCAGTATTTAACATTTAGATTGAAGTTTATAGAACAATTACGTTTGAAATCGAATTTAAAAAGGAATGTACGTGCTTTTCAAGATGTCTCGCCTTTACTGGTAGTGTCCCAACAAAACTATCTTGATATAATGGAGGCGTTACTTGAAATTAAAGTTGTTGCAAATGTCATGAATAAATTCGGAACAACTCCTTTGTTTATTGCTTCTGAGAATGATCAAGTTGGAATGGTTAAATTATTGCTTACATATAAGTGTGACCCTAATCAACGCAGAGGGTTAAAAAATGGTGAAACGCCATTGCACGTAGCTTCTGAAAAGGGCCATAAACAAGTTGTTAAGCTATTGATAAGACACAACGCAAACACAAATATATGTTCAACAAATCAAGAAACTCCATTATACATCGCTACAAGTAAAGGTTTTATTGATATTGTTGAAATATTACTTGAGAACGGAAGTGACCCTAACATTTGTGGAAATCGCAATTTTCCAATTTTTATTGCATCACGACTCGGTCATACCGAAGCAGTACGTTTGTTACTAGAAAGTAACAGTGATCCAAATTTACTTTCTGAAGATATAATGCATGAAGGACAGTCGCCATTATGCATTGCCTCAAAATATGGTCATACCGAAATAGTTAAGTTATTACTTGAACATCGAGCAGATTCTAATTTAAGAGCAAAGGATGGCTTATTTCCTTTGTACATAGCTTCGCGAGAGGGATTTACCAATATAGTTAAACTATTACTTGATTTCAAAGCAAATCAGGATATGATAGTTCATTTCAAAACAAACAAAAGACAGGCTATGCTTTTTTTCAGAATTGAGATCAAAAATCGATTCTCCGCTTTGTGTTGCTTCAGAAAAGGGATTTGCAGATATTGCCATGTTATTACTCCAAGATAAATGTAACCCAAATTTATGTAGACATGACTTAATGGACAAACGTCTATCACCATTATGTGTAAGTGCAAGATATGAAATGACAACTATTATGAAATTATTGCTTAAATATGGAGCTGATCCCAATTTTAAGATTCAAGACCAGGACTTTGAATTGCCGTTATTCACAGCGTCAAAGAATGGGAATGTTCAACTAGTTACATTATTACTTGAAAACAGTGCTAATCCTAATCTATGTTCAACTAGTCCAGGTTCGCAGGGTTGGTCACCATTGCATGAAGCTTGTGAAAAGGGTCATGTAGAGATTGTGCAAGATCTACTAAAACATAAAGCCGATCAAAATATATATACAAAAGAGAGAAAATTACCATCACACATCGCTAAATCAAAAGGTCACAATCACATTGTTTGTCTGCTGCAGCATTGATCAAGAAATACAGAAGTATTATTCTAAACAACTGTTTATTGAACAAATAAAAATGACAATATGAGAGAAAGTAGAATAAATTGATTTTTCAATAAAATGAATTTGATGAATATCTAATAACAATTGGTAAACTTATTCGCAAACCTCTAGTCAAACAGGTGCTGTGGAAAGGTAAAGTTAATCATGTTAATAGTGAGGTCTATATGGTAAAAAGGCAGATGATGTTATATTTCTATTGTAAAGGGGAGAAAGGGATATAGTGTATAAGCATTGGGATTCTGCAGTGTTTTGCACATCTCCACAAAATAAATAAGATTAAAAAAAATACCGAACTCCCAGAAAATCCAAACCGGAGAGTCCTCTATCAAATGGCAAAACCAAAAGCTCAAACACACCAAATGAATGGAAAACAACTGTCACATTCCTGACTTGGCACAGGCACATCCCCATGTAGAAAATGGTGGATAAAACGCTAATGCTAATTAAATCACGATTAAAGGCAGATTAGGTCTTTTAAATATAAAAATTCCTGAAAACAAAATATAGAAAAGAAAATATAAAAGTCAATATGCTATTATCTTTGAAGACGAAACGAGTTTCTGGCGAACAAAATTAAATCTTGGTATCTATGATGAGTTTATTGAAAATCTTTCGATTTTTGTTTTTTCTCTTTCGCATTTGTATAGTACCTTTTTCTAGTTTTTGTCTTCAGGATTTGTTTCTTAAACATCCTAAATAAGCATACGATTTCCCGAGTATCTGTATCTGCGAGCATGCCACTTCCCGCAAATTTGTATAAAATATAACATTAGTAATGACATTCAAAAATATATTTCATTTATCTAATTTTGTAAAAACAAAATAAGAAATACTGTTTAAAATAGTTATTTATACATACGCTGTTTTCCTTCATGCACTTGTTACAGCTGTTTGTTTCTCTATAATTTAATATCAATTGAATCGATTCATTTAATATACAAAGTATAAAAAAAAAAACAATGGCAATAATTAGTATCTTAATAATTAATCAGTTTCTAAATGATTACGGTATACATTCACCAATGTATGATAAAGTTCGGTCACTAGCACATTGAGTAACTAATAATATAGATTCACAAATCATGTATACATAAAACTGATACAGTACATTCTACAGAGTAATACACAAAATACTGTATACTTAAGAAGTGAATTAGGATATCATTTATCCGTTAGAGAATGAAAGTTGTCTCCCTTCTCACAGAAAAAATGTATAACAGTACTTCAAACTAGTTTAACCCCGCCACATTCTATATGTGCCTGTCCCAAGTTAGGAGCCTCAGTGATTGTTAATTCAGTGATTGTGGTTTCTTGCTGTGTTACATATTTGTTTTTCGTTCATTATTTGATACATAAATTAGGCCGTTGGTTTTCTCGTTCCTAAAAAAATATTCTGATCCCCAATTTGATGAAAAAAAATATTGTGGTCAAGCAGATGACAAAAAAAATATTATGAATCCCGATTTTCCCCCATAGCTTATAGTGTTAAATTTTGAAGAAAAAAAATTTGATTGATAGCGTCGAAAAACTAATAAAAAAAAACAATACCCCCAACCACACCCCCCTTCCCTTGAAAAGAGGGACGAAAGATACCAGAGGGACAGTCAAACTCATAGATCGAAAACAAACTGACAACGCCATGGCCAAAAATAAAAAGACAAACAGACAAATAATAGCACAGATGACACAACATAGAAAACCAAAGACTAAGCAACACGAACCCCACCAAAAACTGGAGGTGATCTCAGGTGCTCCGGAAGGGTAAGCAGATCCTGCTCCACATGTGGCACCCGTCGTGTTGCTTATGTTATAACAAATCCGGTAAATAGTCTAATTTGGTAAGTCACATTCGTAAAAAGGGAGGGTATTGTAGTTACGACATAAGGAACATATCCGATATCATCTGTGAAACGGTTATTCCATAACGGTCAACCAACTCGTGATGGCGTACGTAAAATTTACAAAGGGATGATTTCAACTTCACCATTTGGAACTCTTGGTTTAATAGCTTCCTTGTGAGCAGCAATCCTCTATCAAGGAAATCATGATAGGAAACACAAGCCCGGAAATATCGTATCAATTGGGAGATATAAACCGTTGTTTATAAGGACACTTATGTAGTTTAGGTATTCAATACAGTGATGGAAGATCCAGTTCTTCATCTTTGGTTGAAATTCCAAAGGAACATAGAACAGACCTATGATTATCCAGGATTTCATCTTTGGTAAGTGTCGTGAGGGTATATGTTGAGTTTCCAAGTGAATTGTCAATACCCAATTCATTTATCAAGCAGTTTATGTAATGATATTTACACACAAAAACGATGTTTTTTGGGGCTTTATCTGCGGGGACAACAACATATTTGTCATTGAGGTAGGACAAGTGTTCTGCAACATTTGGGAACTAGCACATGTGCAATCAGGAGGTTTAAACTTGAAGCCGTCAATGTTGAGATCCTGCAAAACGTGTTTGTAATTGAAAATTTTAGTTGCAATTGGTTTGGTAAAGGTATAAGAAATTATTGGTACAGACTGATCTTTAAAATAAGGAGGTATTTTCGACTGAATTAATTTATGATGAAGGATATTGCCTAAGTTGACGCCATCGAGACCTTTGTTGGCAAAGGAAAGTTTAAAAAAAGATCTTTTCTATTTTTCATCTTTTCCAATGCGAACTGGTTTGAAAAGTCTGTGACTTGCAATATACGAAATGATAGCTGTAAGTTTGTATTGGTTTGAATGAGGGTTTGTAACAGTGGTTTCCAAACATATATTAAACAGAGAATGAAGTTTTGAAAGGGGTAATGAATACAGTTTTGTGCGAATGTGATGAATGCCTAGTGTCTTTTGTATAAATGGCAGCAAGTCATTAATAGAGACATCATGCAAAGTAGGTGATGTATAATGACGAATACCATGACTGCGTCTACGTCGAGGAGTAGAGTTGAAAATATTCATTACATTCACCGAGCTACAGGAAGGACTAGATAGAATACCTACACCATCAATTTTGTCATTGCAACCATATGGTGTCGCAGTTCCCAATTGTCGAATCCAGTAGTCCTCTTTTTTGTCTACGGAGAGGCGTTGCAAGTTGAGGATTGTTAGTCTTGTGGTATATTTTTTTCGATTATACGAACTGTCATAGAAACGATGGAATGATCAGGCTGATTAAAATGTTGGTACAGAATGTCGTTTGCATTGAGGTTGATATCTGATCTATGGCCGCACATACGTTTGTTTAGCCTTCCTTTCGTTTCACCGACGTAAGCCAATCCACAAAGGTTACACTCTAATCGGTAGACGACATTTATAGATTTACAATTCAGATCATCGTAACTTCTAGTAAAGTAAGACCTTTTTAGTTAAATTGCTAGTGAATTGAGCGTCTGTTATTAAATTTCACAAGTTTTGCAGCCATTAGTTCCACATTTCGAAATGAGACAGTGTTGTTCAGAGTCATCAAAATCCAAAATGTCTCTAAGGAGAACTGAACATGGCATGTGTACTATTGCTATTGTCACTAGTATGATGATCTGAATGAGTCATGTTAGGGATATTTGTCATGTCTGGTGATGAGGGGACACCTGCCTTATCAGACGACACCGTGTCCATGGTGACGTCTGTTTCGGACCTTTTTATACTGGGCGACATCCGAGCCAGTATCCTGTTAGATCTTCGTAAATTCGTGCAATTTTGCTACTGGGCGGATGGTGTCCTCGGGGACAAAATGTCCACCAGCACAGACATCGACCCAGTGGTTATAAAAGAGGGACGAAAGATACCAGATGGACAGTCAAACTCATAGATCGAAAACAAACTGACAACGCCATGGCCAAAAATAAAAAGACAAACAGACAAATAATAGTACAGATGACACAACATAGAAAACCAAAGATTGAATTTAAATGGTTGCTCCCTAAATGATTGATTTATTGGTTAATTGTTGGTGTCAAACACCACTTTCAGAACTAGTAATTACATCGTTGCGGTCAGTTTTTATGGTGGAGGAAGTCGAAGTGCCTAAAGAAAATCACCGTCCTTCAGCAAGAAAACTGACAATCCTAGTCAATTAAATTTCGGGTCGAACGCACCTTACAACAAAATGGACTACTTAGGCCACTTACTCACTCGATCGTCCGGCTCGTATACATACATATGTATACCATGATTAAATACGTAAGATATCAATATTCTCAAATTAATTATATATATTTCAGACTGTTTTCTTTATCTAATTTAGTTACTAAAAAATAATTACAAATAAGAAACACAAAAAGGGGGAGACGATACAAATTTGTAATATGAGGAGTGGGACTGGAAAGATTTATCATTGCAGTTCAGAATATTTAAGGTTTAGGAGTGGGGATCGGAACAGTTTGATAATGTTTAACAATTCACGGTATTATAGGGGGCGGGGCTTGACCCATGGGACAACACCTATGGTGTACAGAAAAAGAATATACATGGTTTAGGGGTGGGGATTTAAAAGTGTTCAAGATATTCACTAGTTAATGGGATGAAGTGGATTATGCATGTTCCCTGGGATAAAAACTATAGTGAACTAGAAAGGTTTATCAAAGAAATTAAGAAAAAAATATGATAAAGGGTGGGAATTTGAACAGTTTTCCAGATATTTAATATTGAACGGTAGGAATACGCGAAGCCTGTACCCTGGGGAGAAACCAAAGCTTGGGTGAACAAGAAAATTTTATCAACTTGGTGGCATGTACGAATATAAATATATATATAATAAAGGGTATCTGAATATATTTTTTGGATACTAAACGAATTATTATAAGAGGGGCGGGCATGACTTTTTCTCATTTTATCATCTTTTTTAATTGATCTATTGTATTGATTTTTCATACATATGGTTGTTATTATAATTCGATTTTCACATTAAATTGTTTGCTTGTTTTGCTTTTTGTTTTGGTTTGTTCATTTTTTTGTCGTTGTGAAACAAGAAGGCTATACTTTTTGAAGACATTGTTGTATTATAATATCATTATGTTTTACAAGAAAATACCATGAACCAGGAATACACCAAATA